GCGGTCATCGCCAGGCTGCTCACATTCTTCAGGAGATGGGGTGCGCCCAAGGAGATGCGTCTAACGGTGGTACCAACCTGGACAGCAGAGAGACGGCAGCATTCTACAGGTAGTGGGGAATCACAGCATGCACCTCCTCCGCCTACTTTCCTCAATCCAACAGCCTCGCCGAGGCAGCAGTGAAAGCGGCCAAGCAGGTGTTGAGAGGCAACATGGGTGCTGGGGGCAGCTTGCACACCAGTAAGGCAGCTCAGGCACTGCTCCAGTTCCTCAACACTCCCCTGTGGGAGGGGGATGTCACCCACGCAGCTGACAGAGGGAAGACAACTGAGAGATGGCGTGCCGGCGAACAGGCAGCATTACTTTGTGGACAGGCTATGGAGGACCACCCTACAGTACAGGGAACACGCCATGGCAGAGGGCCAGGCTTGCATACGAGGTGGCCCAGCAGGTGTTGCTGCGACGCTTCCCCAGCTGTGCATGGGCACATCTGTCAGGGTGCAGGACCCCATGCCAAAGGCGTGGGATAAGTTGGGCATACCCCTGCCCCCAACTGGGGCATCCTCTACGTGCCAGCGCCCCCGTCTTGCGAGACAACACCCATCACACCTGCAAGACTACGTTTGTGGTGTCTCTGCTTTGGACAATGAATTCTGACTTATTTTGTTTCACGGGCATTCGTACATTTATGTAATGTGTTGTATTTTAGAACAGCTTTGTTTTTCTTTTTTGTTTTGTGTCACAACTTGCCCGCTGTAGGTTCCTGTTGGTTTGAGATCTTCCAAGAAAATGTTGAATTCAGTTACAAAAAATCTCGTGGGGGTGTAGAGTATGTATGTATGCATGTATGTAGGCATGACTGAAGCAGATGCAGTATGACAGTTTGGGCTAAGTCCCGGCAGCGTGTGAGGCGGGAACGGCGTGACTCAAAGTGAGCGTGACTGGGGGGTGGAAGTAGAGCGCTCGGGGTGATTAGAAGCTACGCTCTCTGCAAGGACATCTCGTTATTAAAGGCAAGATAACTCTCCACACTATTGTTGGACCTCGTACACTGTACCTATACTATCCAGCTTGCACAGGTGAACTACACAATTTCTTAATTACAAAGTGGTATTCATACTCTTAAGATTTACCATTTTTTTATTTGTGTTCCTTAGAAGTAATCAGGGAGTGGATATTATGCTATGAACCAACTATCAATGCAGACAGGAACTCAGTCATGAACAAAAGAAATTTTGAAGCTTACCTACTTAACCTAACCTTCCCTCTCAAAACTGTGCAAAATCATAAAATGCCCTGCTAGCATGAAGTGAAACATCTTGTTAATCAACACTATATCTGCTGTTTTCTGTTCATGCATGCCCTTACAACAGCTAATTAGTACACTTCACAGCAAAACACTGTAGCTACACTTTTTCACATACAGAACTACTGGCTCGTGACTTCATTATTGAATGTTAAAATGAATGCCAAAATACAAACATTTCATAGACATTAATGCTTCTGTTCTAAATATGACGAAAAACCAAATTTTTGAGGCTGAACTATAAGTAAAAAGTCTCTGCACTTACAAGGATTACGAGGAATATATAATATCCGTGGAGCATGGAAGTCGAAACAAAGAATTATTTAAATCTTCTGCTATACCATCACGCATCCCCAACCTCTACCACGGTCATCCCAATGCAGTCTAATTCCTTTCTTCCGAACTCCCTGGGACCAATGATGGTTCGGACACCTGAACATGCCTACAAGATCATGCAATAGTTCAAGTTAGGCTAAAATTCTGTTTAGCGAAAGCTTGACTTGCTGGAAAGGAAGAAAACTGGGAAAGAGGTGGTCTGTGAGATGGCATACAGTATTGCCATTGCTACATGTAATGAAACTATAAAACGTGTGGAATAATCATAACAATAGTCTAATGTGTCTTAGAAATAAAGAAAACATAAAATATAAAAAAATAAGAAAAATGAAGAGCACGAGGGTGTAAGTGGGTGGAGTAAACGTATGTACATGTAGAGTGAGTGGGCTGTAACTGCGTCGCCAACTCACCACCCACCCAGGCCCCAGCCCATGCTCCCTCTCCCTGATGTGACGTCACAGCATACATACACACACACACATGGACAGATGGGTGACTGCTCACCGTAAACAGTGTCTAATGTTTTTCATATGCATTCTTGAAATATCATTGCTAATGTTTTAGCCACGAGTTCAAAGCAGAGTGCTAGTGCTGTCCCTAAAAGGAAGCGCAACAATAGCAGCTATGGACTGGACATGAATTAGACGTTATTTGTCGGAAGAAAAGTGGTGAGCATGTGAAAGACATCTAACATGCTCTTCAGATTCCCAAGTATAAATGATAAAAGGTATAAAAATAATTCTTTTGAGTGTCATTTAGTACCTTATGAAACCATTCAAACACCATTTCCATTATTTCTTATGGCCCAAAATTTCCTCCTTTAAGTGGATTAGCTTTGAGTGGCAATTTTCCAGTCCCTAATAGCCTTGGATAAAGAGCCCCCCCTGTAATAGCACATACAAATTTTGCCTTGAAGAGTATTTCATACCCACTAACACTTCTCAGCAACCGATGACTTATTGTAGATAAGATACACCATCAAACCTAACCACACATATGGTAGCTATCTTAGGATGAAAGTACATTATCTTAGGTTAAGTTAGGAAGATTAGGGAGCTATCTTGTTTGGCTGCTTGGTGTTAGGTCAGTTGCTGGGAAGCATGTTAACAGTTTAACCACAAACATGGCATTCTTACATACACATATCATGTTTACTCTTAACAAAAACCAGGGAAATCAATTTAAAAATTGTAATTCCTCCACTTTTTTTTATTAGATATTGTGAAAGTAAGAAAGAAGTTTGCTTCAATAGAAATTTTTCCTTAAGTTACCCCTTCTAACAAGTCAGTATTCCTGACTATTACTAATATTACCACCTGCACTTTACTATTCTTGTGCACATTAGCTAGTAGCTAGCTATTTTATTGACTTGTATGGAAAAAAAAATCCTTTCCTTGAGAATAACTTGTAACTATCCACCTCAGGAATTATCTCAATATTTTTGTTCTTTCCATAGTTTTCTGCCTGGAAATAATACGCCCTTCCTCCATCTTGTCTGAAATGATGTACAAGTACAGGTGCAAGTTAAGTTAGGTTAGGTTAATAACTGCTAGTGTAAATATCCCGGTAGACTCAACTCCAGCTCGGTAGACAGCATTCTAAAGTAGCACCAGCTCAGTAGACAGCATACAATAGTTGCACCAACATCATTTTAGTGTCATATGATCACTTTTTCACAGCGTTTTACCCTGCAATTTCCCTCATACTTCATTCCTGCCCACTACAGGTGATTTATGATCATAGATAGGGAAAACTAAAATATAATAAAAATTATTTATAATTAAAATACAAAGTTGCTACCTCTTTTATAATACGGTAAATTTTCACTTGTTGCCACTAAACGAAATTTTCTTCTTTCCAATGGATTTTGATGTGTTAAGAATGAATTTGATCTTCATATATGGTGCAAATCAACAGTTTCTGAGTTATGCCCCTTCCCATCTACCCTAGTGAGCATTAAGCTCACTAGGTTGGGTAGGTTAGGTTGAATTTGTCATTTTGTCCATTTTAATAGAAGTTTACTTAAAATTTTCTGTGAAGAAAACCAAAGAGAAACCCAAGTGCATAAATTTACAACGTCTGGAGGTGGATACAATGGGTATCCATGAGGCAAGGAAAACTTATTTTTCCTTTCAAGTTTCTAAAATAGTTAGACTTGGTGCAGAACAACAGCGTAATATTCCCATGAATAATTCTATGAGGGGTTATTATTTGTTTAATGGCTGCAACAAGATTTTCGTATTTTGTTATTCTAGGATTATTAAAAAGAGAAAAGATTATAAATATATTTCTCTGGTTAGATTAGATTACGTTTGGTTTGGTTTGGTTTGGTTAGTGCTACTATGGAATACTTGGCAGCTGCTTGCCCGTCTCAGTAACAGTAAGTTCGCCCACAACAGGTGTTAAGTTATGCGAGGTTAGGTTAACTTAACTTGAACTTTTAAAAAACACTTTAACACATTGGTTATACCTACGACAGTGACCACTATAAAACACATTAAAATTGCAGCATTGGGTTAGTTAGTTTAGGTTGGTTAGGTCATGTTAAGTTTCAACAGTGATTTGGAAGTTGAAAATGTGGTAATATTGCAGTAAACAGCAACCACAGAATTCCGGAAATTCACTACACTCAATCGATAGACCTATTGTTTCTATGATCAATTTCTTATATTACATTAGGTTAGATTAGGTAAGGTTAGGTAACACATTTTTTATCATATTCTTTGGGTCAGATTTAAACCAATTGCACCAAAAACCATCATAAAAACATTTTTTTTATCAGATTCTTTACTTGCTGTAATCGATAATTTTACAGATTTTATGAGAATTGTTTAGTTTTTTGTGTATTTAGGATTGTTTTATTCAAATCTGACCTTAATTTAGTGTGCAATTGAGTGAATTTTGTATAAAAAAACAAAAACAGAAAACGCATTTTTTTTATACATTCGATATTGCCCAAAAAATGAAGGTCTGATTTAGGTAAAACACACCTAAATACACACACACACAAAAAAAACTATTCTCATAACAAACAGAAGCCACAGCCATTAAACGAATATTCACCCTTTGAGGAACTGCCAGTCAGACGTCAGGTCCAATGGTCACCAAAATCACATTTTAAAATCCCCATGACATTTTCATGACAAGGCATAATTCAATGTATTTGTGCATTTATGAAACCCTTTCAGTTAGATGTCACAAAACGTGGCATGAACTAGAAATTCACATAAGATAATTAACTAGGGTTGAGCTTCGTGTTTGGAGGTTGATTACCCGTGCAGCAGAGGACAGTCTGTCCCGCCTCACAACACCCCTCCATACCTCCCTTCCTCAAGCCCTCACCTGGCACTGTTCTTACCTATAGTGGAGATGAATGTTGAATTAAAGGCGTCTTCTGAAAATCTAAAGAGTACACATGTCTTCCCAACCCCAGAATCCCCAATTAATAATAGTTTAAACAGATAATCGTAAGTTTTCGCCATCGTCGGCTTATTTGTTGATATGATAACTATAGAGAGTAGAACTAAAGCTGGAGGAGAGCGGGGAGAGAGCTGGATCCTCTATTGGCCATTTCTCTACTGCCTACGTAGTGTTGGAATATTCTCATCAAACTTTCGTTATAAAAAATTTGTCCTTGTAAGTTCATTTACAAGATGTGTAAATGGCCTATAACTAGATGTCATATGAACGTACCTCACCCTTGACACATTCACTGTGCACCATAAAATGTTTATTATTATCTTCCAAACAACCCAAGTATTTTTTTTACTGATTCAATATCAAGTTTATATAAAAGAAAATACTAAGTCTTAAATACTGAAAAATTCCTGGCATTCTAGTCGAATGAACACTGATATACAAATGTCAGTAAAAAGGCAAATTGACAATCAACGTCAAGGAGCGTGGGCAACCCACCAGAATGGATGGCCCGAAGAGGTTGTGAACTTGTGATTGTTGGAAACAAACACGCCACTAATGAAGATTAAAAGGAAATTGACCAAACGAACTAAAAAAAATTATTGAATGTTTAATTATCAAACATTAGCATAAAAATTTGCTAAAGTAAAATCTTTATTCAAATGGAAAGAAAAAATTAAAAGAAATATATATGTTTTATTACTGCTTGTATAAAATCAGCAGCATTAACCTTTTCATAGAAATTAAACTTAAATTTTAATTCTCCTAGTTTCCTGCAATCTTTTGAAGATCTAACTGATCAGTTTCGTCATTTTCACAAGCAAGCTATGAACATAAGATTATGCAACCGTTTTTCTTCGATTCTGTTTTGCAGGGATGTTTTCAAAAGCTTAAATAGAAGACCTTTTTTTTTAATAAGTGTAGATCTATACACAGTCTGCCCCCACAACAACAACCATGAGTATGATATGTGATTACTGCAGGGGGACGTCGGACATGGAGGATACAGGCCTGACTAATGCAACGTTTAGGATGATGCAAACTGCCGTAAAGCATGAAGGCTGTTGCTGGTATTGCCCTGACTGCATAGTCCAGGCGAATGAGGCGATTGCAAGCCATAGGAGAACGAGTTCCCTAGGGAGGAAAATAGATGAAGCCAGAGCTTTGCGGCTCATTAGCCGCTTGGGCGATCAGTCACGTCTGTGTTGCGCACTGTTGGCAAGTACTGGGCATGCACTGGTTCCTGATTGTACCTGAACCCTCTCCAGTATTTGTCAAGTCTTGTCTTGAAAGAGCTCACACTCGGTGCCGTCACAACGCTTTCTGGCAGATTGTTCCAAGAGTTCATAACCCTCACTCCGAAAAAGTTTGCCCTCACAGTTTTCTGGATTTGCGGCTTCTTCAATCTTGAGCTGTGACCCCTTGTGGGGCGACCGTCCGCCAGCTCCAAGTAAGGACACTCGACTGAGTAGTGCCCCTTGAGATGCTTATACGCCTCAATTAGGTCTCCCCTTGCCCGTTTGTAGTATAAGCTAGGCAAGTTCAGGCGCTCCAATCTCTCAGGGTAGCTGTGGTGCCTAAGTGCAGGCACCAGTCTGGTGGCCCTCCTTTGAACATTTTCAACCAACTTACAGTCCCTAGCATATCTCGGGTATAATGACCACGGTCACACACGTCAGTTAACGTAAAATCAGATGATTCATATTACGCTCAATAGCCCACAAAACATGTAGCTATGCCTGCTTTATTGAGACTCCCATCTAAGGCATCCGTTTTCTCACCGCTTCAAGACGCCTGAGTCCTCCGTTATCCCATTTTCTCTGACTTCCTGAAATCAACCTCTCTATAAAGCGAATTTGAGTATGAGAGCGAACACCATTGTCTTGAGTCAACTTAGATATGTTTGATTACAGTTAGAGCATTCAAGATCCTTTGTGAGTGATGTTGAAAGCTTTAACTGTCTTTATTATTAGTAGCACTTGTCTAGTAAATGCGAGTCGAGTCTGCCTGTACGAAGGCAGAACAGCCTCTGGAACTTCTTTTCGGCCCTTCTACATTCTATCTTTGCTTGGTTTCTGGCTCTTGCATACATTCTCTTGTCCTGCTCATCATCTGACCCAACCCACGTCTTGAATTTCAGGGTTTTCTTCTTAACTTTGTCGACCGCCTCATGGTTCATGTGTAGGGATCCCCTCGTATTCCTAGAGGCACTGGGTTTGGTCTTGGGTATATATTTATCGATCAAATGGGTCACTTTACTAGTTATGATATTCAGCGTAGTGGCTGCGTTCTTGTGCCTTAATGAGTCAGGCCAGTGGATATCCCTCATCTCTTCCCTCATCCCTTAGAGCCAGCCAGGCGAGGGTACAGGGAGAGGATGTTTTTGAAGAGTCCAAGTGGTGTAAAATTAAATTAAAGGGAGGGGACTTACTTATCGTCGGGTGTATCTACAGATCCTCAAACTATGGCCCACTAAATCGGAGGAACTTAAGAACCTTAATAAACAACGCGGCGATGCTCAACCCTAGCCACCTCCTTATCATGGGGGACTTTAACTATGGCGACATCGACTGGAGAAACGAGTCCACCCTAAATGACTTGAATAACCCTGCTACTCTTTTTGTAGAAACTCTGAGAGATGATTTTCTGTTCCAACATGTTAGAGACCCGACACATTACAAAGGGGAGCAAACACCCAGGCCACTTGACCTTATCATAACAACACTATATGGTGACTGGTGCCAACTGGGGCAAGGTGTTCCAGTTTGGCCACCATACCCTCCTCGATTGTTATGATGAGGTCTAGTGGCTTACGTGCTTGCTCCCCTCTGTAATGTGTCAGGTCTCTAACATGTTGGAACAGAAAATTATCCCCCAGAGTTTCTACCAAAAAGAGTAGCAGGATTATTCAAGTCATTTGGGGTGAACTCGTTTCTCCAGTTGATGTCGCCATAGTTAAAGTCCCCCCATGATAAGGAGGTGGCCAGGGTTGAACGTCGCCGCGTTGTCTATTAAACCTTTGGATGCGACATGCGGGTAAACCCGCCCAAAATATTATATTAATTAAATGCGACAAGCGGGGATACACCCGACAATAAGTAAGTCCCTTCCCTTTAGTTTAATTTTACACCACTTGGACTCTTCAAAAACATCCTCTCCCTGTTACCCTCGCCTGGCTGGCTCTAAGGTCTTGCCTAGCATAGATAACCGCACCCCTCTTGCAAGTTTCTTGAGAAAGGTTCGTAAATGAGTCATATCCAGCAATACGGAACTCACATTCCTCTGGGTCGATTCTGTTCTTGTACAACAGTTCTACAACTCCTACAATATCTGGTTGGTGTACCTTCAGTTGTGTTTCAAACTCCTCTATCTTATCAAGGAACATGTTAGTATTAGTGTACTTGACATTCAAGTTAGAATTTGTTCTCGGTAACGTGTCTGCTCTTAGTAGTACCCCCCCATTCTCAGAAGCTGCAGCATTTGCTAAGTATACTGTGTTTTGCAGGGTGTGAATAGAACTGTCATTGTTTACTAGGCGCTCGCCTCTCCCCGGCTGATAGGCGAAGCTGGTGCCACCTCCCGGGCGGAGAGGAGAGCGGGTGGAGGGTGCGCTGCTGTCCCCCGGCCCTGTGTCGGCACACTTGCTTCCACTGTACTGCGCACACATTGTCATTCCTAAAACCCCTTTAATTCATATTACGCTACATAACATTCAAATCCACCGCGCTTGTAGAATCTCAGAGAACGGGAAACATTGATAAAGGATAACTCACCTACTCAATGTTACTCAATCATGTGTTGTATTGTACCAGGTATGGTTATACAATATTAATTGTATGTATGCATTAAGGAGAACTCAAGGTATCAATAAGATGATTGGGAAAGTCCAGTTGAGCCGGACTAGTGTACTGTAGGACTAAGTGTGGATCGTGGTTTGAAAGTCATACTATTTACGTCTGTGAACTTGTAGCGAACATAACTTCCGCAGATATCATATGATAATACATGAAAACAATGATCTGGAAAAAGGATAAATGTATCAGAACTATGTGAGGTGTTGGGAGTGACCCAGAAACTATACTTGAAAGGAAATATCTTGTATGCATCGGTGTGAACTTAATACACCTCGTCTCCTCGGGTGACGTATACCCACGACATGTACAGTGATCAGAGAATCTTATGTCTGTGTTCAAGTAGTGCAATGTGTGAGGGGAGGATCCCTAATTACAGTTTTAAGTGAAGTGGATACCCACGCCATGAACATTCGGCTTTTGTTTCAAGGCAGCGTCCCTTGTACCCGGCCTACAGGTGTGAGTTGTTGATATAGCCCACTTAATTTCCCCAAGAACTGTCAAGCCCGAACCGTATTCTAGTATGTAAGTTAGGATTAAAATATGGATTTATAAGACACCAGGTCACAATAAACGGGAAAATGGGGAGGTGAGAACCATAAGAAATCAAAGTAAAAATTAAAGATTGGAAACTGTAGGCCTACGCGGTGAGAAGCGGCAGGGCACTGCCCTCAGTATCCTTCGTTCTCCCATCAACTCAGGTCAGTGTCCTCCATCGGGATACATCCCGCCCTAAAAACGACTTATATAGCAGTTATTTCAACTTAAGGCTTTGCCGGATGTATAAAGTGAAGTAGTAATGTGTTACAGGGGGTAATAACCGCCCATCAGGCATTATTGCTGAGTATCCGTCGTTCTCCCATCAACTCAGGTCCCACGCGGTCGGAGCACCTTGTTGGGCGTCGGACATTCTCTCTGTGAGCGTCCCACCATGTGAGGTGACTACCAGCTATGCTATTCCACTGTGAACCTGTGGATTCCCGGCATACCACCACACATGAGTCGGAATACATAATGAAATACGCGAGAAACTCCGCGGTCGTCACTTGGAGTGACCGATAATACCAGGCTTAGAAACAGTACTGGTATGTCTCTTGCTGAAACCCTCGTCTCTACCCACCGAGGGCGGTGTGCGAACGAGGTGCCTGATATGTGTACCTAGAAATTACAAGGAGTCCCATACTTGCAGGTGTGGAGTATAACAGGTGTGGTGAGCTGGTGCTACAGGGAGATGAGATGGTGTTACAAT